TTTCTGAGCACTATGAGGAGAAATGCCAGCAATTGAGCGACAGGTCTGTCATGACCTATCCCATCCAGCAAAAGACACAACTCAAAGTCCAGGATGAGAAAAGAATGAAGAATATTGAGAAGGTATTGGAGATCATGGAAAGCACAGCATTATATGTACAGTACTGTAATACTGTAATAACCCCTGTATTCACTTAACATAAGGTCAAAATTTATAACCAGACTTTAAGGCAGTCTAGCTTTATATCTTTATCAACATGACATATTTTTCTCAGTTTCATGTTACACAGTTACAAGTCTTTGTAGTATTATAATGTTTGACATTACTATAATATAGTTGATAATAATAATAATAATAATAATAATAATAATAATAATAATAATAACATAACTATAGTACTTAATGAAAACCCTCTTAAAATCATAGTTTCTTGATGATGTAATACAAGGCAATTTATGCTACTGGCAGTGGTGAACATGGGAATCTGTATTTTGCAGCTGCGGATGTGCCATCAGAAGTACAGTGGCATCATGCCTTGTAACCAGGCCACTATTGTCCAGGTACCCAAGCCACCGCCCTACACTTCACAGCTCAACCTAAGGAAGCGACAACAGCAGCAGCAACGCAGAAAACACCAAGCACAGGTGTGATCCAGATTGAATAAAATGATAATTTAATAACCTACAGAGGAAATTTCATTTTTGGCTCGCTGACACAGGGTCAGCTATAGAGTGGTGCCCACAGAGTTTGTAGAGGTCGATGCTTGCAGACCATGGGATCTTACATCTAGGTAGAAGTCCCTTCTCAAACTCACATCAGTCATCAGAATCTGTTGAGTGCATTAAGAAAAAATCCATGACACAATTTTAGAAATCCAGGCCCAAGAACATTGAGTTTGTTGTAAAGTTTACCACATGTTCCTAGGTCTTCTCAAAACCAATAGCTTGTTATTGTTTAACAGCTTTCATTGTTTATCGATTGTTTCTAATACTCTTTCATTGCCAAGGTTTGCCTTGGTATTTTCCAGACTAGGAACATCATATTTGGAACACATGTACAAATTGAAAACAAAGGAGTGACATTTGTTTGTTTGTCTTCCTGGTATTACTGCAATTTCTGTCCATGTTGTCCATGCAGGTGGTCCAGATTGAAATAGCCCAGTTTGAGACAAACAGGAAGAAACTGGTTACCTCTAGTTTTGCCTCCTCTTCGAGGTGAGAAAGAAAGGAAACATTCACTAAACTAATATTCTATTTATGTTGTATTTGTTATTCTAAATGCTCATATAAATGTAGACTATTATAGAGATAGTGACCCTCATACATCTTGACAATGGCTTAATATGTGATTTGAACGATTTCAGTGGTAGTGGCCAGCCCATTCCTGGAGATCTTTCCCTTGATGACAGCAGCCAAGGCTGTGAGGTCCCTGGAAGTGGAACAAAGCTGATATTACAATCTAGTAGCAAGTATATACAGGAGCTCCGGCAGAGGCTAGAGGAGAATGCTGTTGCTCGTGAGCAGAGAGAAAAAAGACGAGACAGATTCCTGGTGGAGCAGCTCAAGGCCCATGAAGCTCAAGAGGTGAAACGACCCCTCTTCCCTCGCTGAGAAATGTTAATATACCTAATGTTAATGGAGATAAATACCCACTAAGGAGACGTGAGAGTTCATTCAGTACAGTTTATTTATTTCTCTAGTCATTCAAATGTAGTCATTAAGCCTTTGTTTTTGTAGAATGTGTATGGAAAATACATTTTTAATAAACTTTACATAACCTATTGTCAGTCAACTGATCAGCCCCCCCTGCTTCACTTTGCAGGAAGCACAGCGGGAGGAGCAGCTGGTGAAGCGTTTAACACGTCAGACTCAGCAGGAGCTGCGTTTGGCATCTCAGCTCCTCCAGATGCGTATGCAGAAGGAGGTGATCCGGGAAAACCGTCTGTTCAGAGAGCAACAGTACCAGCAGCGGAGAGAAAGGGACTTCCAGGAGGCTCTGGAGAGGGAAGCGGTGAGATAGGATGAATAAAGAAGAAGAATGACCCTCTCTATTGTCATTATGTATTAGGGTGTATCAGTGATAGTTGAGTGTCATAGGGAGAGAGAGGGAAGGGTGGATTTTGTTAGTTTGTATAGTATCAATAATATATTCATAATATTATAGTATTATAATATCATAATATTTGGTATTATGAAGAGAAAGGGCAGGAGAAAGACTTTAGAGGGACAGATAAAAGATATAAACCACAGAAACAACTATATGTTTATCTGTCCTTCCAGTGATCGCGCTTACACTTAAGATGATTGATTTAGATGAAAAGACAGCAGAGATACTTGAATAAATGCCTTGCAAAGGATGACAGCTGTGGTCCAGCATGGATTCAGTGTTAAATATACAGTAAATAGTATGTTGTAGTATGGTGTAGTCATGATACAGTGTCATTGTTATTGTCGGAGTTTATCAGGCAATCTCAGAGCAGATTCTCATGTGATTAAGTCTCAGCTTCTGCAGTTATTTGCCCTTTACTCTAAAAACTTCTAATCATGCGATTAAATGTACATATGTATAAAAGGTTTAATGAGGTATTATTGATGTTGTGTCTATTGGCAAACTAGAAAGCTGAATGAACTGTTACCTACTGTATAGCATCACCTATACAGTAGGTAGCAATGATTAAAATCTTCTTTCTTTTTTTCTGTGACCTTCAATATCAGTAATCTACAGATTACAAAAAATAAATTACAAAAATGTCCAATGTAACTTCTTTCATATTCCTTAATTACTTACAACACTGGTGATTAGCAGGAACTTTTATGTCATGCCTTCTCCATTCATTTCGTCTTTCTGGCTGGGGCCTGGTGTAGGCTTTGGCTCAGCAGGCTAAATTGGACCGCACCGAAGAGATCAAAAAGGAGCTAGAGTTCTTTAACAGGATTGCTGCTGAGCGTGCTCAGAGCAGACACAAGAAGCACTTTAACAGCTGCAAGGACATTGTGGAGCAGATTGTGGACTTGGCCACCAAGGTTGGAGAATATCGACTGCTCACTGCAAAGTATGTCACACAATTCTTTAATCATGCAATAGAAATATTTACATGGTATTTGGGCTTAAAGCCTCCAAATTGACCTTTTGGTTAGTCAGTTAATGAATATGTGGGAATTCCAAAATGCATTACAAAAATTTACTTTTTTGGTAGTTGCCAAGTATTACAGTTGCAAAAAAAGTTGGTCAAGAAATTTATTTTTAAAAGTCGAATGTACTTTAGCTGTGAAGACTTTTTGACTTTGGCCACTTCATGATCTGAGGGATGGTACTGAGGGAGAGATAGTCCTCCACTCCGTATTTTTGCTTTACATTAAAGCACAAAACAATATTGTATCATAAAAATCTATGTAATATTCAGAATAATACTAGGCAGGAGCAACAGAAGAAAATATGAGCAGATATGTTCTTTAAGTGTTGGTTTGTTTCTTTCTCTCATCTTTCTTTCATTCTTTCTCTGGGAAAGCATTAACAAGGTATTTCAGGGTAGTATTGACAAAGTGAAATCTTTTGCTGTATAAAAACAGAAGCATTGTAGTCCAGTGCTAATTCAGATGCGAGTCAGAAATCTTTGAAGAAATTACCAATATTGGAAACATTTTTGTACAACTGAGCAGTGGTCAAATTAAATCAGGAGATGTCAAGATCCTTTCTGCTTCTTCTCATGATCAAATACATAATTTCCACAGATATGTACTACATACAACAATGCTCAATATTCACTTTGTGTATATATATATATTACACACAATATGTATCCTGCCACCCAAGGTTTTAAATATCCACTACACAAGATCTTCTGCTCTTAGATTAACCATTTATTGAAACAGAATTAACTTTAATCATCTTCAGGCATTAAAAAGTACTGTGTAGTCCAGTTATTTGCCTGGTAAGCAGTAAATTGAATAATTCAAACTGGTCAAAGCATTTTCAAATGTGTGGTCCGGATTTCATTTTAACCACAATTCCGCTTGTTAAGTCTGGCTTTGCCTCATGTCATTTTTCTGCTGTCATGTCCAGTCTGATTCCAGAGAAGCTGATGAGAGAGTGGAAGGAATTGCTGTTCAGGGGCCTGCCTCTCTATGAGCCAGTAAAGGGCCAGCAGGCCGGGTTTGAGTTCTCTACACCACTAGATCCTGTAGAGCTTAAGAAGCAGGAGATACTCAACAACCAGGACTATGATGAATACACTGTGAGTTTAAAACACGAGTGCAGTGTGTTTTTAAATTATGTTTGTATGTGTGTGTTTGCCCGCACACTTGCATTTAGCTCGTCTGTGCAAACTGAAAACTTTTATTTTCAAACAAATGCCTTGTTTGAATTCACTACAAGTATCAGGCATAATTAGAAACGAAGTAGGAAAAGCCAAGCAAGCTACATTTTTGAAAAAGTTTGAATTGTGCCTGAATGGATCCTCTTTGTCTTAGCTAAACATACTGTGTTTGTCAGAGCATGGTAGGTGAGTGGGCGTGGCCAGAGGAAGCAGGGGAGACCAAATTAGCCCCAACCAACAACATACTTGGACATGTTGTCCTGCGGCTGAGGAACATTGTTCATCCACCCATTATGGAACCTTCCGCACCTTCATTTCCTCAGTTTACCCTCAAGGCCTGTGTTCTGGGCAAGTTTTGCTCTGGCAAGACCACCTGCCTGGCCAAGATTGCTGAAGGCATGCTGTCCAAACAAAGATGCAAGCATACACACAAATTCAGTGTCACACCACTTAATTAGGTCTTTATAGAAACAATATATCAAAAACAGATGTGGAATAAGATTGCATGACTATTGTTGCTGAGTGTGTTATTTTCTGCTTTAGCCTATGGCATCTGTGTCTTATCAGCTGACACACTGATTGAGGAGGCGCTGAATGCTTATCATAGTGGAGAGCAGGTAAGTCAGATACAGGATAAGAGTACTGTAACTTCACTACTATCCCTTTTTTATTGAATCACATAATATTGCATTGAAAAGATTTTTCAGGACCATAAAATCAGTCTTTTCTGCCAGTGCCAAAACTATATAAACCTGTGAACACGTGGACTTAAAAGGTCCTCAAAGACCCAAAACATTTCACCTTTTAAAACTTTTGTCTTTTTTGGACAGAATTTACAGGTCACAGAGCAGCAGGGAGAAAAAGACAATGAGCAACTGCTCACATCCTCCACATCACTGAAATCTGGTGGGTTACTGAAGCATGATTCTATTCTGTGCTTTTTTATAATATTTATTAAAAGTGTATTTTTTTATTTGCTTGTAATAAAAATTCAATGCATATTAAGTATTTCACACAGTTGCTTGTTTAATGTGTTACGAATGACACATCATTTTATTGTTTTTTAGACCTTGACACTGAAGAGGAAAGTAGAGACATTGACATAAGAGTAAGAAATATTTGTTGTATGTTGTATGTATGTTGCATTTGAGATTTTCTGACTTTTTTTCATTTTGTATTTACAGATACATAACATAACCTGTATTCAATTTATATCACTAACCAACCTGATTAAAATTTGCTTTCCTTACGATAAAATAATGACTTTTTTCCTGGTTACAAGCTGTCTACGCGGGCCATGCTGGGAGCAGCTGCAGAAAAAGATTTGAGAGAAGGCAATGCTATTCCTAATGAGGTGTTAGTAGACATTATAGTAGAGGCTATCAGGTAATTATCTGTATTGCTCTAAAATACTTTATATAGGATTGAGTTGAGTTGTCTCATCTCAGTTTTACCAAATGCAATTCATTTCACATAGTCAATATTTCTCAATGATGCAATCTTACTTTTATATAGTGTGGACAAAATAAACAACAATCCCACGAGCACTCCCTAGAAAGTGAAGTATCTGTTGTGTTCTTACTAGGCAGGTTCCAGCTCAGTCAGGTTGGATCCTGGATGGCTTTCCGGTGGACATCACCCAGGCCTACCTGCTAGAGAAAGCCCTGGGTGGGTCTGTAGATGTAGGGAATGAAGTTGAAAGCAGCAGGGCAAACCTTGCTACTGATCCTGATCCACCTAAACCTCTGCCACCCCCAAATCCGGTATTGGACCTTGCTCTGCTGCTGGATATCCCTGATGAGACTGTGATGAAACATGCATTCAATCACACTGGTGAGAGTTTAATGCTATTTATTACTGCGTGCACCCAAACTTTATCTGTTAGATGTGCGCATGTATGCATACAAAAGAAACTAATTGAATGTAAATTGTATGTTTGTGTTTTTATGTTTTTTTCCTGCTCCCAAACCTTATGCAGATGCAGATACTGCTGCAGAAACAACCTCCCATCACACAGATGAAAATTTATATTTGGCACAGATTCCACACAGGTAAAAAAGAAGAAACAAATGGAAAGCAATCTGAAATGACTGCTGTTGCCTATAGTATGTGTTTAATATCTAATCCCTACCACCATCATCACTACCACCCTAGGATCACAGCGTTTCAGGACACCTGGCCAAAACTTGAGCAATGGTATGGTGAAAAGCAAAACATTTTGGTCCGTGTTGATGCCAGTGAAGTGGAGGTGGAAGTTTACAAGAGGGTGGAGTCTGTCCTGCTGCAAGTTTTGATGCAAACACAGGAAGGTAACTAGTTTTCATTTTAGTATTAAGCTAGTATTTGTAGACTCAAACTCTGAAAGATAAGGTTAAACTGAGGTACTGATCATTAGATTCTCACTTTTTCTACAGTAGATGATTTATAGTAGATAATGTCTCCCCTGAAAGAAACCCAATTTTTACTTTCAATATTTCGATATATTCCCTCATCAGCTCTTGCCGCTCCTCCCTTCGACGATGTGTTGGACAGTGGAGAAGCTCAAGAGTCCTCTGCGTCAGCCACTCCTCTACCTGTAGACCAACCTCTAGCCCTCACAGATGAAGCCCCAGGCTCCACAGAGTCCCATTCCAGACTTAATGAGGAAAAAGCCCAAAGTGTGAACTCACCTCCCAAATCCAACACACACTCCCCGAAAGGTGATATGATCAGTGGTCTGTGGATTTCACATTTTCATCTTTTCAAAAGAAATTCTGCTTCTTAGAATGGATTTAAAAATAATATCTACTGACCATAAACATGGTGTGTTTTATCCCAACTAAATATGATATCATGATTATTATTATTAATAATAATAATAATAATAATAATAATAAATAATTTATATACTTTTGCCTAATCAACAGGGCACTCTAGGAAGGCATCAACTTCCTCAGTGACCAATGAGGTCTCTCAGGGAGTCTCTAAGAACCTACCCGAAACTGGCTCTCCCTGCCCAGGCTCATCCAGCTGGGTCTATGTGGATGAACCTCTTCCCGTAGTAGGATACAACTTTTGTTCATGTTTGTTTTACTAATCAGAGTTGGATGTGTACTCCTAATCTCTCTCTTCCCCGAAGAATCTGGTTTTTCACTGACATACAGTATGACATGACATTGCCCCTCAGTTATGTGAAAATAGGTCATATGACATCTCTGTTGCATTACACTTTGTTTTCTTACTATCCTCCCATGCCCTCTGGTTCTTTCTTCTTTTCCCCCCCCCCCCCCCATCTTTATCTCTAGGAGATCTCAGAGTACCTGTGCCCACATTGGGACACAGTGTGTGATTCTTATGTGAACAACATAAAGACAGTGATGCAGCAGCTGCGCTCACAAAGCACTGTTATCAGCCATCACCTATTCAACATCAGGTATTCTGCCAAGCCCTTGAAGTACAGATAAGCACATGACTAAGCTTTTGCATGTTGAACAACTTTCTGTGACTGTCTTTTCCCCATTTTTATATTTGATGTCTATAGCTGAAGATTCTTCATTGTCTATTTGGACATGTCTGTACATGCATTCTTACATTTGTATATTTGATAACATTAAAAGCTAGCAACACAACTATGGCCTGTAAATCTAACAGTGTGGGTAGCCATAAACCTTTGCACACAGTGCAGTAAAGAGCAGTATCTTTTTAGCTACAATCAATTGATCTATTTTATCCTTTTAAGAACAGGTTTTGTCATGTAAGTTTTAGCTGCAGTGTGAAACAGCTGTCTATTTACAATTATCCTCTGAATACAGATGCATACATCACAGATGGTCATAGTTATTCTTATTTTCTGGGTATGTTGTGACCCAAATGTTCATACCATTACGGACTTCGTCAGAAACATTTTACAACTGAAAGACTAATTTATAGTAATAATAAAATAAAAAAAATCTCTGGTTAATATTACATGAATTCCTACGTAATTATTATCCAGTTCTCTGTATCTGTAGAGAGGAATTCAAGCATTACCTGGGGCGTCCAGACTTGAAGCAGGAGTTAGTGTCTCAGTGGCAGAAGGACTTCAACAGCATACCTGATGATATGAGAGAAGATGAGGATACCAAAGCAGAGCTACATCTGAGACTTGATGTAAGAAGAAGAATTTGTAATAAAATACAAATATTATGTATATTAATTAATATACAAATAATATGGTACTAATATTGTTAAGCTGAAAATTGTGTAAAAACCTGCTCAGAAATTAAAACGTAAAATACATGGGGATATTCTGATATGTGTACAGGAGTTGCGTGAACGTTTATGGGACATCAGTGACAAGCGTAAGGAGCAGGACGAGCAAGAGAGGGCTTCTCTCATGTGTGACGGTTGGCTGGAGGACCACACTGCCGTTCTCATCAACCACCATGCCACACTCACGCAGGTAATTTTTCAGTAATTTTTCATGAGAACCATAATGAAACTATCTAGCTAGCCATGTAGTCACAAGCTGAGGTCTGATCAGCCTGAGCTATGTCATCTGGAAGAGCATCAGCACATATATTTGCTGTTTTTTGTAGTTTATAAGCTCATGCTTGAGACTAATTCCTTCATTTTGAGTGTTTTATACTTCTTCCATTGCTTCCTTTCCGTCCTCTTTGCGTTGGTGTACAGGCACATAATGTCTATTTCTTTCTTCAGTGTGACTTCGTTTTTGGCAAAACTATAATCTTTGCTTGTTTGTGTTGTATAGGTGGAGTTGGACCGTTTCCAGGAGACCATCTGTATTCTCAGAGTCTACTATTTGAGCATGTACAGACAGGTGCTTCCTGAGCCACCCTCCAACTTTGTCTGTATCCCCCTAATGGAAACCTCAGAAATTAAGGATCAGGGCGAGAGGCAAGAAAGAAACTTAATAGAAGCCTAACAATAATGATAAAAGACAATAAACTGAAATAACAAAATTGTGAATAGACAAAAGATGAAGAGTGGAGGAAGTGAAAATGTATTTTGTTCCACCAGCACTGAGCCAGTGGACACAAGTGTGTGTAGTCAGATGGATGACGGAGAGGAAAAGAGGAAAATGAAATTGTAAGGGAAAAGTTTTCTGCTGTCTTTTTGATGGATGTTGTCATTTCCTCACAATCTAAATATTGCCCAGCACAAACACATGCATAAACAATGTCCTCCTCTTCTCCAGTGTTCCCCTCCTCCCCAGATGTCCTGACTCCTCAGGGGGGGTGTCCAAGACGAAAGGCCAGGATCAAACAGAACCTGTCAAGGTCATTCCTGCATCTCTTTACATACCTTTCATTCGCTTTGATTTTTTTTTGTCGTTCTCAAGGTCTGTAACTGATTTTGTTGTTGATTTAAATGTAGTTTCTGAAATTATACATCAAATCAATCCAAAACACTCTGACACTTACATAAAAATATTAATAGTGATATACAATTTATATTAGAGATATTGACCCTTTTCATTGTTCACTCTAGCCGCCCCATGAGAAACTCATCTCTGACTACGAGGAGGCCCTAAGAGCCATCGTCAAATTGGTAAAGCTATGCCTGTGAGAGTTTGCATGAGCAGTATATGGAGGTATATATATATATATATATATATATATGTATATATATCCTGTTATGTATTGGACATACAGGTGTCAGCAGAAGCCCGCCAGGGGGCGACAAAAGAGCAGAAGGAGAAACCACAAGAGAAAGAAAGAGAGAAGACCACTGCAAGTTCAAACAAAACGAAAAAAGGGAAGCAATCAGCAAAAAAACAGAAAGGCATGTCTCTATAAAAACTGGCGAGGTGCCCTCTAACATGTGCTGTATGTTTCTGTATATCTTCTAGACCATTGTTATCTTGCTCTTCCAGGTCCACCATCCCCATCTCCAGCACCAAGCCCTGCACCAGCTGATGACAAAAACTCAGAGAAGACTCATGATCAAGAAGTCAGAAACAAAATACATAAAGAATATGCAGCTGCACTGGATCACGAGGGTATGCACACACACACATTTAGAGATTCAGTAGTTCCTTTATATCACAATATATTTATTCATCATATTAACATATTTTCAAATATAATAGTAAGTAAAAATAAAAAATAAATGGTTTTCTTCAAACTTTGGTATATGAATGATATACATGTGGATGTAATATTTAATATGTGTGCATGTGCAATTGTGCACGTGTGTACATGGTCAATATGCTTATATAGCTGTGTTCCTCTGTTTGTGTGAATACGTGTGTTTTCCAGAGAATGCAGCAAAGGTGCGCATTGCGCTGGTGAAAGGTCATGGTCTGGTGATGGCGCAAAGCCTGCAAAGCAGAGCAGAACAGGCCTTTAGCGACATGGAGAAGTGGTTAGAAGCTCACTATCTTGCAGAAATGAAGAGGTATGGTACAGTAAGAGTGTGGGTTCATGTGTGGTATTGTATGGTGTGGGCAATGTGTGCATATAGAGGGACATGAATGTGAATAAAGTAGCAATAGTGTAGCACTGCACTGCTGTCCCTATTTTATTAGTGTGGTTGTTTTTGATTAGTGTGTGATAAATATTGTCTATATTTTATCTCAATGTCCTTTACCTTACTCTTTTAAATCATAATGCTATACAGGCTATGTATGCATATATATAAGCCCCCAGAATTGAATTGTTGGACTAGAGTTGTTATGGACCAGACAAAGGGAGGCCAGACCCAGATGCAGAGTAAATACAAAAACGTGGTTTATTCAACAAAGTAGCAACAAAAAATCACTCTAGGAGGAATAAGCGTAAAGTACCAAACAAAATATCAACAAAAGTACCAACACAAAACGTAGAACAGAAAATCACCATACAGATGGGAAAAATGCACGAGGTCAAAGTACAACAGAAAATGGTGTCAAGGCACCAAAAACTCACTAGAACTAGAAAGAATTCACCAAAAGGACTTCGCGTGGCAAGAGGCAGGAGATCAACAGGAGTGCGAGGGACAAGCACAAGCAAGGGGAATAATCCGGCACTGGGGACAAGGGGAGTGTGTCTTATGTAGGGTGCTGATTAGGCCGAACGAGCTGCAGGTGTGCCAGTGGAAGAGCGCTCCCGGAGATCCCCCCGCCTCTCGGCACTCACTGCAGGAAGGGGAGAGAGAGAAGTCAAACAGGGGCAAAAACTAAACACAGAAAAACCCAAACCACAACAAGAGTGTTACTGTTTGTATATGATAGAAGTTATTCCATACTTGAGAATATGAAAATACACACTGCTTGTGACAAATTCTAGGTTTTAGCTTTCCCTGAGAGCAAGTCATGTCTAACACATTTAAGCCTGGTCATTAATTATACATATAAGACGTGTGACATTTTATCTGTGTCTGTCTCTTTTTCTCTAGTATTGACCAGTTATCAGAAGTGGTTCGCCACCACATAGAAGCTGCTGCTAAGCTACAGAATGAACTGGTTTTGGTATGAAGTGACCTTCTAATTGTATTGAATTTTTTTTTTTAAAGAAACTGTTAATATCTACTCCTGTATAGTGTGGTGCTCACTAGTTACAGGGATGCACTGTAAGGTGAAATCTGAATTGTTCTTCCAGTATGTGACATTTGACAATGGGCTGAAGTCTCCTCTCTTTTCCTCTCCAGGAATGTACTGACTTCTATCTGAATGGAGATTGCCGAATGGTGGCTACCCGGACTCCCTCTGCCCAGCCACCCCCTCTGGAGAAACCCACACAGTCCACCCCGACCATCACTCAGCTGGAATCACTCCACCAACAACTATACAACGTTGCTCCATCAGGTGCATACAGGGGAGAAAAGCTGTGATGTGATTGGATCTATTAACCCTGCTATCCAGCTATTTGATCATCCATCAATCCTCTTTCCTTCCTTTCTGGCTTTCAGGTCTCATTCCCAGTTCTGATTTCTCAAGCTTGCTCAGGGATATCACCGCTGTTAATATGGGCAGAAACATCTTGCCTGAGCCGTGGGTAAACAAGAATGAAACACAGGTGCTCTTCAAAGTATTATAGACACTCAAAACAAAAAGCTGAGCAATTATGTCTATTCATCTCATAGCACTAAATAATAGAACAAAGTTGCAAGATAGACAGTTTACGAACAATTTGTGTCAATTGTCAAAAAGTTTTAAAGCCAAATAACTACATAATCACATAGCACTGCGCTGACTACATCCCAGTGCATAGAGAGCAAAGCAAGACACAAAACATTCCTGCACCATACTTTAAGTTACTTTCATAGTCTAAACAGGAGCAATGCCCTTTTCTCTCCTGTCCTCAGTTGATGGAGATTGTGGCTCTGCTAGTGGATGACTATGAGCTTGTAGACTGGCGTCAGTTTCTGCTCAGTGCGGCCCTCCCTTGGTCATTTCCCTCCTTAACACAGCTGCTGGCCGTGCTAAAACGTTTCAGGGCAGCAGATACTGGCAACACTGGCTATATAAACAGGGAACAGTACCTACAGGTTAGTCTCCACACAGACACACACACACACACACACACTCACACACACACACACACACACACACACACACACACACACACACACACACACACACACACTAATTCAGTTTGTAGTAAATACAGATTCTAATTCTCACATTTAGTCCTAGTACTCAGAATGAACTTGTATCTAAATGTTGTCCATCCATTCATACCCATCCATGGCCCTTCCTTGCTCTTGTGGCATTACTGTGTACTGAGCAGGCCTGGGTTCAAGTCAGTGTGACAACACATTTAATATATGTTTATGTTTATACTTTATACTTTATTTAGGAAAGTGTTAACTGTAGCTCCCTCAACATACTACTCCTCCTTACTCCTCTTGCCTCCTTTCCCACCAGACAGAGTTGTGGTTTTCCAGTGAGAGTGTACAGCCGGTCTCTGAAGACCCCTCTGAGCCTCTACCTTATGACCGTCTGGCTAACCTACGCAAGGTAACTACCTGCAATGACTGACAACTTAATTCAAAGTCAAGTTAAACTTTTATTCTTCCTGAAATGGGAAATTCAAGTGGTCATGGTACACTGCAACAACATAAAAGCCATTAAAGTATGAACAAAACGGTAATTAAAGAATATAAATGTACAAAAGATCATTACTAGACATCTTAAACTATTACTATTACTACTAAAAGGCTTTTTGGCAATTCTCAGTGATATCTTCTTATGTTTAATTTACATCCAAATGAACTGCACAAGTAATAAATGAAATGAGTTACCATTGGTCTCTCTTCTTTCTTCTTAGTTCTTTTTCCAGTTGTTTGCGGACCACTCTTTCTCTCCTCCTCGACTGGACTATGTGTCCATGCTGCAGTACTTTGCAGCCGACCCTAACCCCAGACAGGGCTTTATCAGAGCACTTAGTGTAGTGTTGGGACAACATCTTAAGCACTTCTCACCCGGCCACCTTGTCAGGGTGAGTTAATTAATGTACAAAGAAACGTAAATTAAATTTCCACTTGAAATTGATGGAAAAATCACAGTGATTTTCTCTCTAGTGGATTGAAGCATGCAAGTGTTAATGTTTCTCTTCAGTACAAACTGTAGCACATTAACAGGACAATATGACTATGTGTTTGTATGCAGTCTATGCCCAGTATAGAAGAGGCTACAGAGCTCAGCTCCTCAGAACTTGATGGAGAGTGCAAGGAAGAAGAGACTCCGTGTCCATCAAGCAGTTCATTGGTGTCCATCCCTGCTCTCCTCGAGGTCATCTGCCACAAAATCACCAAGATGAAAGACGGCAACCCCCTTCCTCCAGGCTGCCTGAGTCAGGAGGAGCACACTGAGGTATAGCTCTATTGAAGTTCAAACTGGGCTTTTAAGGAAGTACATAAAATGAATGGTTGAATTAGTTGCAGAAAGAAGTTGTAGAAGAGGAAATGTAGTAAAAGATGTTTTAATTTCCATTTCAGCAGAATGTCTTTTCCCTCAGAAAGATTTTCAAGTAATAGGGGTGACTAGCAAATCTATGGATTTCTATGGGATACACGATTAAAGGGTTACCTAACTGACCTGTCTTACTGCAGTAGGCATGTTGAGTGTCAGGAATAACCCATGAGGGTTTTTTTGAATGCCAGCATAATTTGGATATTAAGGGGAGTCCACACCTTCAGTTACATTAAATTAGGCTACACCTTGTTTCCATGATGAGAGTAAAATACACCAGGCCAAGCCCAAGCCAAGGAGTGAATAGTTTTGATTTACTGATTCTGTGGATTTGCATAATGGCTTAATTCTAAAGGTTAAGGGGTCTATACTTAAAAAAAAATTCTGAGCATAATTATTAACCATATTTTTAAATGAAACTCTCTTCTTGTAGTGATTAAATTTTTCTCTGCTGCCCTGTAGCACCTGGTGCATGTATTCAGAGAGCTGGGCTACAAGCCTGAGAACGGTGTGCCCTTCTTCATTCTGTCTCAGCATCCTTTCATCCAGGGCCTAATGGAGACCACAACACACTACCAGCTTGTAGTAAGTCTCTATATGTCTATCATATATTAGGGTTAGGGTTACTTGCTCCACTACTACAGTGTCTGTCAGATGAGAATCCAAAATAACACTACTTATCACCCAGACCTTCCACCATCATATGCATTTATATTCTCATTGCTTATTTTTTAAGCTGACAAACCTACATGAGGATTCACCCTCACCTTTCATCTCTCTCTCCCTCCCCACCCTTTTTGTCCTTTCATTCTTTTCCTTTTAACATTTATTTATCTCCTTTCTTTATCTGTCTCTCTTTCTGTGTCTCAGAATATTCATAGGGTGCTACTGGCCAATCAGGGTGAAGTAGAGGCTAACAGCTCGACAGTTTCCTAAAGGATGAGACATATACAATACATGCTGATGTCTGCATCATGAAGAACTCTTTCACTTAGGAAATGAAAACAATGTTGCTTTGGCCATTTTCAAGTATTCTCAATACTTTTACATTATTACATAAATGTTTGCTGTCAGCCGTATTGCTCAGTATTGAATAAATGCATTTGCACACATAGCTTGTTTCAGTATGTAGAGATGTCTAACTGATGGAGGTTGGGATGACCATATAATTGAAATGACAACAATAACATCAATGATGGCAGGATTGACCTCTCTGACTCGCTTTTTTCCTGATGCACTCCACCAGTTTTTCTGACTGACTTGTTTTTCTAATGACCTCTCTGACACACAAAAGCATCGGTTGCAGCTACAATGAGTGCATTGTCCAGGATAACCTACATGTCAAGCCTGACTTGCCAGCAACTGCCTGCCAGGGCACTGACAACTCGATCTCAGTCCATTCAGCAGTGATGTGTTATGGTAGCTTCTCTATTTAGCAGTCACTGGTGCCTCTCTAGCAATCAAGTTAATGTGCATGCTGGTTGGAGAAAAAATTTTAAGAATAGGAACATATATAAATAATGTAATCAGTGTTGTTAGCCAGTTTTCTTGTTATTGAAGACAAATCAACTTATTAATGCATTATCATGGGTTTCACTCCAAATATCATTATTGTCATCAGTTAAGTGCTTTTCTGTACTTGCTGATGGAGTCAGCAGCAACCTTGAGAGAATGTAACATTTCCATTTTTTTAATTTGATGCAACAGGAGCTGGGGGAACCTCCCACCCCCCTTCCCTCTGCACTTTCTCTCTTCCCTCCCTGTCATTGTCAGTGCAGGTCCAGAGCTCTTGGACTTCTCTGTGTCTGACTTTTAGAGAAAACAGAGCCACTCATGTGTCATGTAGACAGAGCCATATTCGTATAGTTGCATCCAAAACCTCCTGAATAATAAGGAATGAATCAGCATCCTAATATTGGACTTTTTCCATCTGTAGCAAGGAAAAGAACACTGGATACATCCTAAGTACACGAGATAAGGATTTGGGATTTCCCTCCCTATCAAATTTAAAAAATTTAAAAAACTTTTATTTCTGGCTCAAACGGACATGAGACCATAAAGAAGACTTTTAGGACCTAACTTGGTGCACATGATTTTACCAAGAATGCAATTTTTCTCAGTTTTATGTTGGTAATTCTACGTTTTATCCTGCCGTTTTCTTGTGGAAATTTTTTCAGGACCTTTCTCTCCCGGTTACTCACCGGATCTGACTCTGTTGCTTTATTACTGAGTTGAGAGGGTAAAATTTGTCACAAGGAACTGTTGTTCACACAGGCTTTCATTACAGTTTATTTTGGAACTGGAAGACTATTTCTGACATTGGCTGCAGGTCACAGTGTGCTACTACAATAACAACATGGGGATTGTATTTTGGATGTTTTCTCTTCTGGCTCTTCCAGTACTTCAGTCTGCCAAGATCCTGACTGTTTGTCTAATTGGTGAGTAGTGGAGCAGCGATTGTAGAAGTACCCTTTACAAGTTAGAGATATTCAGTGTAAATATTTGTCAGACTGGGGAGTTATTTAAGTACAGTAACAGATTTTCAACAGAGTTGAAAATGTAAAGGAAATTTGCTACAGTTTGTGCGTTATGTGTAAATTCTTATAGTATGTTTCAAACAACAAGCCATATGGTCAGATAGCACAGTGATAATATTTTTGTAGTTCTTGTCTCCTCATCTCCTTCCTTCTCTTCTAAAGGAGGAAGCCACTACTTGTTATTAGATGAAATTTCTCATAACTTACACAAGCGTGGCCATGAGGTCCGCATGCTCTTGCAACTGGGCAACCCTATTATCACAGGTATATTATTAATCATTAAACATACATGTATGGAAAAACATATTGAACAACTTTCTCTCTCATTTTTTCTGATTTAGTCTGTCTAATTTTCATGTTAATGACGTCCTCCCAGGTTTCTCTTATGAAGGCCGTGCAGACAGTTACCAGACGAGCTCCTGGTCCTTAGGAGAGAAATATATTAAAGAATACAATGGCTGGTTCCTGGAGCAACAAACACAGTTTTTACTGGGAAGGTATCACACAGATTTTAGGACACTTGGTTACATCTATGATTATGTTGTGGGAAACAGACAAGCTTGTTGAGGCTACTTTATCATGTTTAACTCTTGGATTTATCTTATACCAGTGCTCATTTTGTCTCTGTTATACAGAAGATTAATGAGCCTTCTTGGATTAATGTGAATAGTTAAAAATATTTACCTTTAACAGGATTATATAATGTCAGATTTAAATTGGTCCTTTATCAACCCCCTTGCTTCTTTTTCTGTCTTTATCTTACTCACTTTCCGTCCTCTCTCTTTCTCTCAGGGATAACTTTAGTAACTTTTTAAATTTCATGGGGCACCTGTCCTATCAGTGTGACAAGCTCTTAGGGGATAAAGAGATCATAACTTTCCTCCAGAAGCAACACTTCGACATCACCATCCTTGATGCTTTTAACCCCTGTTCCTTCATCCTGGCACACAAACTTGGTACATCTGCTGTTCATCACTTACTATCATCCTTTTACATGTTAAACATGTTTTAACATTTCTACAATAATGTATTGTTTAACAATACCATCCCACTTACATTATTTGCAAATCGCAGATATATTTAAATGTGTTACACCAGCTACAAATAAGTGAACAGCATTACAAAAGTCCCATGCACTCTACTCTTGATTTACTCCAGGTCTCCACTACATAGCTTTCTATCCTGGCACTCTGAATGGTCCTCTGTCCATCGCCCTTCCCAGCCCACTCTCCTACATCCCAGTCTTCAGCTCCCAGCTGTCCGACCACATGAACGTCTGGGGTCGTGTGAAGAACCTCTTTTATTCTTTTCTCGCTCCAGTAGGTGAGAATGGTGTTACATAGGAGATCACATAGTGTCAAAGGTATTATCTGGCTCTCTCAATGAGACAAATATTCATTCTGCACTGCACTGGTCAATGGCCCTACAGACATATTCTAAATGAGCAGACTTTTGGATATCATGAATATATAGAATTTTTACATTTTAATTTTTCTCATATCTTATTCTCCTTGCATTTCTTATTTGCATATCTTGCGTATGTCATTCTCCTTGCTGACTTCATTAGTGCATGTTACTAATTTGCAATTGTTACTTATCTCTCATTTCACACTTACTTGCAGCTAGTCAGAAAGTGGCTTAGCTACTATCCATTAACAAGAAATTATGTTATAATAATAAAATTTGAATGACATTCCACAAATATTTGGCATACAATGTTGGTGCTTTTTGTGTCTTGTGTCTTGTATCAAAGGCCAGGAACTTATATGGTCAACATTTAGGGACGTAGCTGAACGCTACCTTGAGTCAGGCTCAGCCCCTGGTGGTCTGGAGGAGCTACACCAAGGAGCTGAACTCTGGGCCTTCAACACTGATTTTTCACTGGAGTTCCCACAGCCTCTTATGCCCTACACTGTGCTGGTGGGAGGTCTACTGAATAAACCTGCAAAGCCTCTGGAACAGGTCGGTTTTCTTGACATACGTATCCAAATAGGTTAGTTAGAGTCATGGTTTCATAACAACTCACCTTTGTTCCCTCTCTTTACCTTTCTCACCCCCACTGCCCTATGAACTTTTACTCCTCCTTATGCACAACCAATCCCTCCTTGCTCAACACTCTGCAAAACTCCATCTACATATTTCCTTTATTGCCCATACTCTTACCCCTTTGATCCCCCAGGATCTTGAGTTGTGGATCTCCAGTATTGGAGAAGCAGGTTTCATTGTTGTGACTCTGGGATCAATGGTCTCTTCTGTCTCTGTGGACCCACTGCTTGTGGAGCTGGTGGCTGGCTTCTCCAGGATTCCTCAGGGGGTGATCTGGAGGTAAAAGCATGACATAATTCATGCAGGCATAAGAAATATAATTTTTTAACGTTGTGTGTTCCATACAGATAAACCACAACACCTAAATAGAGGGCAAGGCACACACACAAAGTCTTTTTAACAGTCATGAAAAGATTAAATCAAGCCCTAAAACAAACAAACTTGCTATTTTCAGGATGTTACAGGATGTTATTAAACCCACAGTGTTTTGCTTGCAGGTATGACCCCAAGCGATGGCCATCTCACCTGAACAGACCTCCCAATCTCAGGCTAGTGGACTGGCTGCCTCTCAATGACCTGCTGGGTAGGAACAGTCTGCCCCTCTCTCACACTAACCTTTTGTCACAAACATAAAGGCCCATTACAGTATACGGTAGAATGTCAAAAGGTTTGTTCATTCTGGGTGTTCTGGACTATCTGAAAGACCAAAACAATGCATTTCTGGATGGATTCCTGTCAGACACTATTTTTCTGTTTACCTAAGGCCACAAACAAGCACGTCTCTTTATCACCCATGGTGGACAAAACAGCCTGCTCCAGGCAGTGTACCACGCTGTTCCTGTGCTGGGAATCCCTCTGTTTGGAGACCAGTTTGATAATGTGGTAAGGGCTGAAACAAAGGGACTTGGCCTCATCATCAGCCCCACACACATCACCAGGGAACTGCTCAGCTCCACTATTCAAACACTAATTCAGGACATCAGGTATGTGGAGGGATGGCTAGGTGTTATTTGTGATGCCAGCAGAGTACAAAGATGTATGTAACTTCACTGCATTTCTCTTTCTGTATTTTTCACCGATCATTTTTCTTGTTCTAGGTTTAAGTCTTCAGCTTTGTCCCTTAGTAAGATCCACAAATCCCATCCTGTCCCTCCAGCCCTTCGACTCATCCAGTGGGTGGAGCACGTCCTGCACAGTGGAGGTGGTGCTCATTTAAGGCCAGCTTCACTGACACAACCATGGTACCAGAGATACCTGCTGGACCTGGTGCTTCTTCTCTCCCTGGGCCTTTTTGGTCCTGTAGTTCTCTGCTGGACTTTCTGTAGAAACAAGAATAGCAGGTATAAACACAAAAAAATACAATAGCAGTACTAAGTGTTTCCTTACAGATACTTCAGATTTATACCTCACTTCTGTGTCACTTGTCTATCTTGGACTTATTGTATACTGTGCATGAGAACTTTTTTAAAATGACCCTTACTGCCCTAAAATACTGCAGATGTTCAATAGATAAGCCATGCTTGTAATTGATTCATACAGTTTACCTTTAAATACATTAAACAGCATAACAGGCTGGTATGTTGACACAGAAGATATTTGCTTTGACCAGGCCCAGACATATTATGCCTCACAGACAAAAAATAACTTTAAAAAAAAGTTTTTTTTTCAGAATTATCAAATGGAAAGATAAAAAGTACAGCAAAAAAATGTTAAATTTAACTTGAAAGTGGTTTCAATGTTAGTTGTCTTTGATAGCATTAACACTGTTGCTCAACTTAGCATTTCACAGAGTACTTTATGTACACAGAAGAATTTCCAGTTTCACATCAGTGGAATACCCCTAATGCCAAGTTTCCTGCCCTCTCCCCTCCCAGCGCCATCATGTCTACCAGACATCTCATTTGTACTGCAGCGCCACATTGTCCAACACCTCTGTGCTGTTTTGACCTGGCTGACACACACATACACCCTAATTAAGTCATGCTTTTGTTCTTTTGTGTTGTTGCATGTTTCAAAATGGCAGCAAGATATGTTATAGTAGATAAATGGATGTTTTTGTGTGCTTTAATTGTCTGGTTTAGGTACATATGTGTAAACAATATATGTTAAGTGTTACACAATACACCTGAATTCTCTCTCTTTGTGCATATGTGTGTGTGTGTGTGTGTGTGTGTGTGGGGAAGCATTATGGTGTACCCGTTCTTCAGTTATTAACCACCAGCACCACCTGCGAGTCTAAACTCTGACCCCCACACCCTCCTCTGCTGGTTTCCACTGAGTCTCCTTCCCCTCTCTAAACAAGGCACAAAAGCACACAGCAATGTTCACGGTCAGCGCGCAAGCCACTGTTGAGAGCAGACCAGGCCTTTGAGGACCCCCTCCCTCTCTGTTCTGACCTCCCTCCCACTCCTCACATCTGTGTTGAGGGTTAGCAGGGAGGAAAATATAGATTATCAAGGAAATAATGACCAATTAGGAAGGTTTGTTCTCTGTCCATTCAGCTGTCTTTTCCTTCATTCCTTCCCTGCATTTCATTTGTCTATTTGTCTGGCAGTTGCAGGTGCCAGTGAGTCTTCCTCTGTCTTGCACGCAATCCAAAACAGACAGGGCAAAGCAGCCAAAGCATGACAGGAAAAAAAAAGAAAATGGGCAAAAAAAAGCTAACTTTAATGAAGCAGAAGAAAATAGTAGAAGTAGAACAAAGCAAATTCATTGGAGAGAGGAAAAAAAAAATAAAGCAGACAGAAAAAGAAGATAGATAGATACCACAGAATAAAACAGATATCATAGACAACTGTCCAAACTGACACTTTTGTAAATTTTAACACTGTAACTGCATGTTGTTTAAGTTGGAGTTGCAATCATCTACATTTTATTTAACCATGACACTTAGTTTGAATCAGTTTTTCAACAGGTATCCTATAGAAACAGTATCAAAAATAAACTGACAATGATAATTGCATCATATGTTAGTGATGTAAAGGTTGTAGAGGTTTTGTTCAGAAAGAGGTGTAACAGCTCTGATTTGAATTTCTTGTAGGTGTTTTAAATAGGATGTTTGAACAAACATGGCATTAAAGGTACATAAATTTGATTGAATTTGATTCTAATGTTAACCTAATGGCTCTGTGATTTATAGTAACAGGTCATCAAATGAGGAGACAGTGGGACACTGTAGAGAGGGTATCACTGCATGAATGTACTGTATGTAATGGAACTGCAGGGATTTTAACCAATTTGTGTTCTGAAGCTCAAATCTGTGTTGTTTGTGGGTTAGAGCCCCATCTAGTGACCTGAGAAAAAAGACTGTTGAGTTTCCAGCACTACTCATAGATCAAGTAGAAATTAAATAACCAAGTACATTTATTCAAATGCTGAAGAAAATTACAGCTTTTAGGATCTGATATTTTAATAACCTATGAGTCTGCTCCGCTAGATTCACTCCATTTCTCTGACGGCCGTACTTTTCAGTACTTTTCTTTTTACATGCAAAAACATGCACTCATTTCCAAGTTTATTAGTTTGAACTCAGTTTGTGTTGAGACTGTTTTAGAGCGGTGTTGATTTAACCAAACGGTCATTTAGGAGGTTACAGCTTCTAGTGGAATTATATTTAATTTTACCAATATTTTGTCTACCCTCATTTATATATCTTGGGTGTACAAAATATTAGACCTGGGATATTAAACCTGGACATTACAACCTTCATAAACGTAGAATTTATTGAAAGAAAAAAATCACAATAATCATATTATCAGCTTCTAAAATGTGACTTTTAAATGAAAGTTATTTTAGTCAGGAATTGAGTCCTTAATTTTTTATTTTATCATAAAAACTGAGAAAAGTGTTTACTAGGATAAAGATGTTGATTAAAATAAAAATTGCAGCGTTATTTACTGCACAAAGGCTTTCAGGCCAGACATACTATAAGGTTGAGGTTTAAATGTATATAGCAATGGGAAAGTGTTATTTAGACGTTATGTACATTTTTTATATGAAATGTCCATTGGCTGCCATGAGGGCGCAATTTAATTTTTAGAGGATGTTGTTCATGAAAGGCTTGTGACACACACAAATCTGATTGGTTGAAGTGCTGTAGTCTGATTGGTCAGAGCTGCCAGCGTGGGCGTGGCCAGACGTCAATGTTTATGTAGACCACTGTCCGTGTATGTAACCGCACCAAGGACTCTGCAATGTGATTTCTTGACATTGATTTGTTTTCATTCCGTTTTACCCGCTGTCTTCACCGCATTATGCACCAGCTTTTAACATGGGGAATCATTAGCAGGTGAAACACGGAAGAAACGGAGGAAAAAGCCGGGATGGCAGGCGCCTTTGGGTTCAAAGGCTGCCAGAAAATTCGAGGTCCGCAGATTAGAAATCTGTTGGAGGCGAAGGACTTCTTTCTCTTCGACTGCGACGGGGTCATATGGAACGGAGAGAAGGCGATATCCGGCGCGGCGAAGGTGGTGAGTTCGCTGATCCGACAAGGCAAAAACGTAGTGTTCGTCACCAACAACTGCACCAGGCCCCGGGAGAATTATGTGAGTAAGTTCTACCGGCTGGGCTTCACCGACGTGATGCTGGAGCAGATCTTCAGCTCGTCGTACTGCTCGGCTCTCTACCTGAGAGACGTCGTCAAGGTCCGCGGCCAGGTGTTCGTCATCGGCTGCGACGGACTGTGCAGAGAGCTGCAGGAGGCGGGCATCCCCTGCGTGGAGGAGGCGGATGATCCGGACGCTACCATCTACAACTGCGCCTTGGCTCCGGACGTCAAGGCGGTGCTGGTGGGACATGATGATAAACTGACTTTTCTCAAACTGGCCAAAGCCTCGTGCTACCTGAAGGACCCGGAGTGTCTGTTCCTGGCCACCGACAACGACCCCTGGCACCCTCTGTCAGGTGGAAGGATACTGCCAGGTAGAGTGGTGTTGATGTTCATCGAATCTTTGCTCGTCTTAATCCAGTACATTGAGGTCTAGTTCTGCACAGTACTGCTCGTATCAGTAAAGTTCAGGACCATTCCAGTGTAACTGGACATATGTATTACTGCCAACACGGACAGATTAGTGAAAGGGCCTACTGGGCACGGGCCCTGGAGCCAAAAGGCTCAGGGGCCCCTTAACCAGAACCCAAGTTTGTTGTGTTAGTATTTCTCTTCTTAATACAGCTGCACATTGCATCATTAAGTTACAGTAATCTTTATTATGAATTAGTAAGGCAATGTATTTAAGTGTGTGACATCACAGGTTCCTTTAATGGTGTCCTGTAATATTTAAATGCTACATTTGATATTTTGTACAATATTTGTGGAGAGGAGTGTTGGAGTGAATCTGCTGTGACAGGAAGGTTTGGGATTAGGAGGATTTAGACAGCCACTCTTTACTTCCAGCATGAACAAAATAGCTTCAACAAACAACAGAACTTTAAAGGGCAACCTGCAAATTCTAGCTGCAAGTCCTGCTTTTCAGCTGCATTAAACACTTCTTTTGTCAAAAATACAGACATGGTGTTTGCTGGGGTGGGGGTGGGGGGTGGGGGCAGTGACTGCCATTCTTCTCACTATGTGTGCATTGTTGATGTACCCCATCATCTGTAAGGGGCCCATCATGTACAGTACACACAACAGACAACAGGCTTCATTACAGTGTACTGTATATAGCCTAGAGTCCAAGGTACAAAGCAGCACTCGTGTGCTGAAATAGCATCTGGCAGTTTGTGTTAACGCATATTTATTTAGGAATGGATGAGCATCATGAAAGTTTATTCCAAACAGATATGTTACAGGTATTAAGACTATAATGCAGGGCCTCAAGATCAGGTGATGATAGAGTGTCCTGGTGGCCTGAATGTTTTAAGATGCTCACCCTTTAATCCCAACAAAGTTCAGCCTGGGGTCTTTGCTGCATGTCAAACCTCCTCTCTTTCTCCTCATTTCCTGTCACTTCCCTACCGTAACAACAAAGACAAAATATTGAAAAGATTAGTTAATAATGCAGGACCTATCTGAATGGCTTTAGTTTTAGCAATGTGTTCATGGGCAACAAGTTACCAAAAATCAACTGATACAGTGTCAAGGTCCAAGGAAGTGTGAGGCACCAGGGCAATTGCCAGTTTTATCCGTTCAGTAATCCATCTTGGGTTTCAGGAACCTGCAAGTTGATTTTCATGTTGCACTGAAATTAATTGAAACCAGTGGCTCCCTGGAAAATAGCAATACTGCATTAAGAAATCTGAAAGGTAGATACTGGCAGTAATGCAGCCTTATGCATGCTGTACTGTATGAGATTAGTAGTGGGCTAGCAGTTGCAGTGGCCTTCTGACAGTGATGCATCATATACATTATCTCGGTTCAGCCTCCAAACTTAACTAAAGAGGCAATAGTTGGTGGTTGGGAGAGAGGTTGTCTCTTTTCAGATTCACTTTAATCTGACCTTTCTTTTAACTTAACCTCCTGGCAGGTTCTGGGT